AAAATTTTGTCGTTTGCCTGGTTTTTTGGTGTTGGATGTTGATCCCTATCGTGTATTTGGAATTTGGTTTTGTTCCAAGATCATGATAGCTTAAGATGTATTTACTTATAGGGAAAAACATGCTTTTAATCTTGTATTCGAAGATGCTTGGCTAATCCCCGTGCTTTTGTGTCCTTTCTTATAAATTATGATTTTAAGTAGTACATTCAGCCTTGATAAGTAACTCTTGTTAAATTTATTTTATTTCCTGATCAGGTATTTAGTTTTCAAGATTGTTACCCTTCTAAAAAGAAGTTTTTGAAGATCGTTACCCTTTGTGGCTGTGTGGTCATGTACACTACTTCATGATGGGAACGGAAGGTAAAACATTGTTTTGTTTCTGTCATTGGGGCGGAAAGAATAAGGTGCTTCCAGATGGATCCACTTCATATGTGGGAGGTATTACTGATCAGATTATTGTGAAGACAGGCATAAAGTACAATGATTTTGTGAATGCAGTTTTTGACCGCTTAGGCATTGATCCTTCAGATAAGGTCTTGCAGTTTACAGTGAAGTTTGATAGGGCCCAATTGATACGGCTGAGAGACCAAGAAGGTGTCGATACACTGTTACAATTTAATGATGGTTTTGCCCATGTTTATGCGTCAAGTTCAGAGAAAGAGTCTAATTCTGCAGTTGCTCCTAATGTGGATACCACTAGGTAATAGCCGCCTTATACTGGTCCACATGATCTTTATTATGGCAAACTTTTTGACTACCTAAAGTTTGATTGTAAATAATGTTGTATAATCCGCCACAGGGTTTCAACCACTGAGGTTGAAGCAGTCTCTCTCGGAAGTGCCGAGGAAGAACAAGTTAGTGCTGATACTCCTACTCCTACCCCTCCACCTTCACACCAGTGGATCACCGATGGAACTCCAGATGCTGCTGCCAACTGGAGTGAGTTACTTGTTGGGGAAGGACAAGCTTTTGAGAATGCTGATGCGTTTAGGCTTGCAGTTTTCAAGTATTCAATTGCAAATAAATTTCACTACAGAATTTTGCACAATAAACCTAGATACATTAGCATCCATTGTGCTGCTGATGGGTGCCCATGGAAAGTGAGTGCTGGCATCGAGAAGAAATCTCAAAATGTTTCCATTAGGAAATTTGTTGACTCTCACTCACATCCTCCTCTAGATTCATCACAGCTGAAGCCTCGGATCAGGATGAAGTGGTTGGGCGGTATCATGCAAGAAGAAATATTGGGTAGTCCTGATTGTTTGCCTAGAAAAGTGTGTGAGGATGCTGAGAAGAATTTGGCAATCAAATTGACCTACCGTCAGGCTTGGAGTGTGAAGCAGAGGATAAGGGAGGCAATTGATGAGAAGTCAGGTGAATCTTATAAATTGATTCCCTGGCTATGCAATCGCTTAATTGAGGCAATGCCCGGAACTATTGCTACATGGTCGTGCACCGAGGAGAACAGATTCAAGCGGCTCTTCGTGTCATATGACTGCTCAATACGTGGCTTCCATGTTGGATGTAGACCTTTGATCTTTATTGACGTTTACAACTTGAATGGGCTACCCAACAGCTCCTTTATAGTTGCTTCTGCTTTGGATGCAGACAATGAGATGTATCCTCTATCTTATGGCGTTCTCCTCTCCATGAATGAGGATGATCTTATATGGTTTCTAGAAAAGCTAAAGCTTGTTGTGCAAAATCGCGAGGTCGTCATAGTTTCAGGCGCAAGTCTTCCTTTTCTCTCCAGCTTGGACAAAATGTTTGGTGATGAAAACCACAGCTTTTGTTTTCACTGTGTAAAAGAGAATTTCAATAAATTCGTTGATGGTAATACTGCCTTTAAAGTGCAAGGGAGAGGTAAGGAGATTGCACTGAAGTACTTGACTGACATCGCCTATGCACGAACACTAGATAGTTATAATGAATCTCTAGGCAAGATCTGTTCTTTCCGCAGAGAATTGTATGATTGGGTAATAGCTAGCCAGCCGGAGCGTTGGTCTAATGCCTTGTTCAGGAAACCTCGGTGGGATCAGCTGAATTGTAATTCTATGGATGCTCTGAACTCTTTTATAGAGGAGGAGAAGTTTGTACATGTCCTAGAGTTGATGGAGGCTTATCATGAAAAGCTTTATATATTATTACAGAATAACAAGCTCAAAATTGAACAATGGAACCTTCAGATTGGTCCTCGGGTCGCTGAAAAGATTTTTGAAAATCAAAAGGTCGGCGATAACCTAGCAGTGACGGTTTTATCTGATATCGAGTTCAAACTACGAGAGCTACAGGGCAGAGAAGAAGTTGTAAATCTCAAACTCTGGACATGTACATGCTTAGAGTGGCAAATGACAGGCATACCATGCAGCCATGCATGTAGTGCAATTACATTGGCAGATATGAACATTTTCCAGTATGTAGCTGATTGGTACAAGAGAGACACACAGGAACATATATATGCTGAAGTTATGGATGAACTAGCAAAATTTGATATACCACATCCAGATGATATCGTTTCTTCGGCTTCTTCAGGTAATGATGTCGTGTTGTGTCCACTTTCACCGCATGTCAAAAGACCTCCTGGCCGTCCCCGGAAAGAACCCAAAGGACCCCAAGTTGAAACTGTAAAAAGACCTATACGCTGTTCCAAGTGTGGTGGTGTTGGACATAATAAACGTACTAAATGCAGTTCTGTAGCACAGTAAATTATTGTCCAATGTATCAACAATTTTATCAGTGAACCCTTTCTCCAGTTTAAGCTTTCAGTGCAGGGTTTATGACTGAACTTTATGCCCTTCAATGAGACATACTATTGAGTGTAGCAGTACTTCGCAATAACTGCTTTAAAATTTTGAGTCCACCTGTGTGAGCACGCTCGCACAGCTGGTCTCAAGTCCGGGTAAAGGAAAGTTTTGCTGGACTGAAGGCAGCGTAAAACCAGACAATTTATGATAAATCCTCACAATACATCGTACATAGATGAGATGCTGACCTAGGCACATTTTCGTGCCAGTAGAAGATATTGAGACCTTTTAGTTCTTTTTATTTTTAAATTTGTATAATATTGGCCTGAGGTGAGTTTCAATGGAGTGGCATGAGAAGTGAGAATTCATAAAGCCGACCCTTTAACCTCTTCGCCATTGAGGTCTTAGTTATTTTAGTATATGTTGAGCGTGAAATGGGGATTTATATTCAGATCCTATGTACCAAATAGTTGGTAAAAAAGACCGTTAGGATGTATTTATAGGAAGAAAAGTGAGAATGACATTTTCTTACCCTCTCAACCAAAAGTTGTTGTAGTCTCTTCCATACATAATTTCCTATTAGTAACAACATCAACAACAGAAGAATAACAATAACAACAACAACATTGGGATTTTGAGGCTAGTAGGAATTATCCTCAATAAAAATATGAGGAGATATTTCACTAATTTGCAATTTAGATATATCAAGAAAGGAATTAGAGATAACTGTGTACAAATTATTTGTTGAGTTCTATCATTTTCTCAACTTTCGGCATGTTTAAGTCATAAATCAGAATACAATGATACTTTCTTCGTTCAACCATTTACCCACTAATTCAAATAGACAAGTACATTAATATTTCATGGTCATAGCCGATTTCTCGTTCTCTAAGTTATAATCTTCCTTGACTAAAAACGCCTTTGGATTTTAAATAGTTATTGTGATACTAGCAAAAGAGCAGTTTGGTGCACTAAGCTCCCGCTATGCGCGGGGTTCGGGGAAGGGCCGGCGGATGAAAATAAGAAAACAAGGATGAACTAAGATTCATTGAGAGCCTTTCTTTCCATACTAATACTTCATAACGATCATACATTTTATGGACTTATCATTTGTATTTTGTTTACAAGCAATTAAAATATTGTTGAAAGTTATAATTTAAGTAGAAATGACACTAGGTAGTCACTCTACTCTCTAGGGTAGGGGTAAGGTCTGCGTACTCACTATCTTCCCCAGACCACATTGTGGAATTTCACTGGATGGTTGTTGTTGTTATTGTTGTAGCCACTAGGGTTGCTATTTAGAAATTAGTCAATGCGTCCTGAATTTCATTTTTTCAGTTCAAATTTTCGGGACAAAAAATGCCATAAATTGTTCTGGAGTTAGGATTTTATGTTTAAAATTGTAGGATAAAATAAGTACTGACTAATCTTAAAATAGCATCCATAAGAATGACTATCTATGTACTCGCCCCATAATTTAATTACAATGGTGAAAGGAATAGTTCTAAAAAAGAACTAACTGTTCAAATGTAAATTATCATTCAATCATCATCATTATTGTTGAATAAACCATCATCTCAATTTATTTAATCCTTTTTGGCTACACTGTAAACTTGATTAATTTTACAGGATCATAGTATCACTTGTTTTTGAAAAAAACAACAATAAAAGCAGAAAAAAAGTTGATGGAAATTGAATTCCATTATTCTATTTTTCCCTTTATTTTTGCAAAAAATAACTTTTAGATAGTTCTTCTATGTGGGTAGTGGCGGAGCCAGAATTTTGGAGTCAATACATAGTATATATATAATTTTTTTTACCTAACTACACAGTGAATTTTTCCCACGAAGGGGTGCCAAAATATATAAAAGTAAACATACCAGGAAATTAAGGGAAGTCAATACATAGTATATATACATATAATTTTTTTTTACCTAACTACACAGTGAATTCCCCCCCCCCCCCCCCCCCCGAAGGGGTGTCAGTGGCCGAGCCACCTTATAGGAAAGGTCGCGGAAAAATATACTGTGTAGGTAAGTAAAAAAATATTTATATGTATATATACTATGTATTGACTCCCTTAATTTTCGGGCGTGTTTACTTTTATATAGTTTAACACCTCTTACTAAAAATAATTGGAATGTGGTCCCCATTTCTTGCTGACATAGCACTCAAACAACCAGAGTCCACAGTACCAGTTATAGTGACAGCTCACTTAACTGTTGTTCATACAGCAATACGACAAACTAGCAGTGGAAATTAATCTAACTCAACAACAACAAAAAGAAAAAAAACTAATTAAAAAGGGAAAGAAGAAGAAAATCTCAATTTTCTATAGCTAAAGTCCTAAAGCCTTCAGAGTAAAGACACAGGATTTATCATATCAAAATCTTTCTCAGATCTGTTTCTAAATTTCTGCATGTTTAATCCCCATTATTAAGCTCAGATCAATTAAAATCCTTTTCCAATTTCTCAAAAACCTTTCTTTCTATACAAACCCAATTCAAGATCCAATTTTTCACTCAAACCCCAGTTATAAAAACTAAGATTTTAGCTCTCTCGTACCCAGTTTATCTTCAGAAAAGATTAAATTTTCCCCAAGATCCAATCTTTTCTGCATCTGAAATTTGAGGTTTTCAGTGCTTATCAACTCCAAGATTCAATTTTTATTGTTGATTTTGTAATTTTGAGTAAATGGTCAGTTTCAGATTTGAGGTGAGTAAGCCATTATCTTGATTTTTTCCTAAAAATCTCTGTTTTAGCTTAATCTTGGTACTTTGTTTAGATGATTTGCATTTGATTTGGAGACTTAAGAGTTTTGTAGAAATGAAGGAATTGAATTCAACATCTGACCCAATTGGGCAAAACTTGATAAAAGTTATAAGCAATGTGTGTTTCTCAGTTTTTGTATTCTCTGTGCTTATATTTACTATAGTTGCTATTACATACCAACCACCTGATCCATGGGAATCTTCTAGAGCTTTAACTAGAGTTTTCACACAAGTTGAAAATGCCACATTCAAAATTGATAATTCTGTCCTAAAAACTGGTGAAGATGTTGCCACTACTCCCATGGCAGCTCCTGATGGAGCGTTTCCTTTAGTGCCGATTACTGAAGCTACTATTGAGAAATCTGAAGAGAAACTGCCCAATGTGACTTTGAAATCAGGATGTGAGGATGTGACTGTAGTGAATTGTTCCGATCCTCGGATCTTGATCACGATTCAGAGGTTCAATTTGAAGGCTTTTAAGTCCATTGCGTTTTTGGATTATCGAACACCTGTTAATGGATCGAAGCCGACTGAGTGTGATGTCGCGTGGAGGTTCAGGAATAAGAAAGAGAGATCTTGGAGAAAGTACAGGGATTTCCGGAGGTTTAAGATTGGGTTTACTGATGATTGTAGTTACAAAGTGGTTCACGCAGGTCGCTGGCATTCAGGAGTAAATGCCCGTCGCCCAAGACTCCGTGGTAATTCCACTAGAACTAGTCCGAAGGCCAAAATTGCTCCACCTGTTCTGGATGAGGAGATCAATGATACAATTCCGATCTTGGGATCAGATTCAGCTTTCAAGAACGGGAGATACTTGTACTATTCACGGGGTGGTGATTACTGTAAAGGAATGAACCAGTACCTATGGAGTTTTCTATGTGCTTTGGGTGAGGCTCAGTACTTGAATCGTACGTTCGTGATGGATTTGAGTATCTGTTTGGCAGCTTCTCACACTCGTAGTCATAAGGATGAGGAGGGAAAAGACTTTAGGTTCTATTTTGATTTCGAACATTTGAAAGAGACTGCATCCATTGTCGAGGAAGGTGACTTCCTTAAAGATTGGAAGAAATGGGATAAGACACACAAGAAGAAAATCTCCGTAAGAAAGGTTAAGGACTACAAAGTGTCCCCCTTGGAACTAATGAAGGATAAGAGCACAATTATATGGAGGCAATTCGACGCTCCTGAACCTGAGAACTATTGGTATCGGGTCTGTGAAGGGCCTTCCGCCAAATACATCCAGAGACCGTGGCAAGCTTTGTGGAAATCAAAGAGACTTATGAATATAGTAACTGAGATTAGTGGAAGCATGGACTGGGATTTTGATGCTGTTCATGTTATTCGCGGAGAGAAAGCACAGAATAAGAAGTTATGGCCCCACCTGGATGCTGATACATCCCCCGATTCCCTTGTCGCAAAGCTTCAAGGAATTATTAAACCTTGGAGGAATCTGTATGTTGCCACAAACGAGCCATTCTATAATTATTTTGATAAGCTTAGATCTCACTACAAGGTGCATTTGCTTGATGATTATAACTACTTGTGGAGTAACACAAGTGAGTGGTATAATGAAACAACGCAACTAAATGGTGGCCACCCAGTTGAATTTGATGGGTATATGAGAGTTGAAGTTGACACAGAGGTCCTTGTTCGAGCAAAATCACGGGTTGAGACATTTTACAACTTGACAAAAGATTGCAAGGATGGAATTAATACATGTTAGACAGGTAGGAGATATCTTTTAGTGCTACGTAAACGTTATTACACTTGTTTCCCCTGTTTCAATATTTGGTTAGTTCTGTATTGGAGGTTTTTGAGTTCTTTCAAGCTGTGATAATAGTTGTTCGTTAATGTATTGGTTAAACGCTTGTCTCGTTACACATCTGTACAATATTCAGCACTATAATCTTCACTAGATTGAGATTTGTTGCCTCTATATTGTCTCCAGAAACTTATCGTTCATCTTATTTAGTTTTATTCTCTTCTTTTTCCAAGGACGGATATTGAAGCTCGACTTCTTTAGCATAATGTTCAAGAACTGAAATACTGAAAATTAGCTGAAGTGCCTGTTTAAACATTAAGTTATTTCTTGTATGTTCATATGCATGTATTGGTTTATAGGAAAAGTAACTCATTTTCCTATTTGAATGAGGGTTTTGACTCATTTTAGATGAGATCAAGATCATAGGTTTGTTTCAATATGCAATGAGGGACCAGTTCCAGCTTTGTTGAATCTCATCCCATTCAAAACAAATCAATGTTCTTTTACCAAATTTACAACATTTTTTGCTATTCAAAACCAAAGTATTTTTTCTTTTGTGTATTCCTTTTCACTTGGAATTTTCATGTGAGTGGTAAATTAAAAAGTGTTTGTCAAACAATGAAAAATACAACCTTCACACTTGAGTAATATGACAAACTCCAGCCAGAAATTATGAACTTCTTGTCACTGGTCCACCACTAGTGTTCCAACACCTGCTTGGTGGTACTTGATTGTGTATTGGTGCATAATCCTGCAAAAGGGAACAGCAACATTAATAAACTTTTTACTGAATTAATTAACTTGTTACTTTGTTTTTATTTTATTGTGTCGAGGGTCTATCGAAACAGCCTCTCTACTCCTCCGGATGCATACATCTTACCCTCCCCAGACCCCACGTGTATCCGGATGCATACACACTACCCTCCCCATACCCCACATGTGGGATTTCACTAGGCTGTTGTTGTCGCTGTAATAAACTTGTTATTTTGTAGCCATTCTTGCTATTATAGGTCATAACCCTTGTGATAGTTGCAACTTTGTTGGTTTTGTTTCTCTTCCCAAGACCTCTGGTGTTTCTTAACAGACCAATATCCTTTTTCTGTTCTCTTTTTCTTTGTGAGACCTCTAAGTACTGATTATGTAATTTTTATTTATAAGGTTAGTGCCTGGATCAGTTTGCACACACCTCGACTGTTTGACTCCCATCAATATAAGTATCACGTAACTATGTTACTCGGACTCTCCAAAAATGTTGTCATACATGTGTCAGATGCTCCAAAAATGGACTTACTTTTGGAGGATCTGATGTACACCCGACGACATTTTTGAAGGGCCCGAGCAACATAATCAGGTAACTCTGCCCACTAAAACTTAGATAGATGGAAACAAATCACCTAACATTTTTCTTTATTGAATTTAAGCCCTGGTCTCTCGTGATTTCACCTACAGTCAGATCTCTCTATAACAGCATCCTTATAGAACAACACTTTTTTATAAAAGCTAAATTTTTCCTGAACCAAATCTCATGTTCTATTATAATATGTGTTTTCTATAACAGCAATTTGTTATAACATCCAAAAATATTCGGAATAAACGAGATTGTTATAGAGAGATTTGACTGTACTTTATTATTATCTTCTTGTTGAAATATAGTTGTATGAAATAAGATTTTGGGAGCATTGTTAAAGAAAATACCTCCATCTTTTCTAAAAGCTCTTTGGCTGTTGTAGCTGATATGACAATATTTCTGGCTGAAGGCTTAATAAATCCTTCTTCTACTCCTTTGTCAAATAATCCAAGCAAGCAATCATAATATCCATCTATGTTCAATAATCCAACCTGTTTCAACATATTGCAATCTTTTACTAGGATTATATCTATTGTTGGTAACAGTAGATATGCTGAAAAGGAGGTACTCTCTCCGGTCCACAATAAGTGATTTTTTGACTGTTTTTGTACATATTAAGAAATTTACTTTTTAAAATTAATCAGCAATGAAATTGACCATATTAACATTTACTATCTCTTCACATAAATACTCCTAACACACACTCCAACACTATTTACTCCAAAGGCAATGTAGGAAAAAAATAATTAATTCATTCTTGAAATTTAGAAAAATCAGATATTTTGGATCACGAAAAAAGGCCAAAAAATCACTTATTGTGGACCGAAAGGAGTATCAATCAATCAACTACGTCTAAATTTCAAATGGACTAAAACTATATGACATGTAAATCTCTAATCATATATATTAAAATGATTCTTGATAATCACCAAAACATATCATAAGATAATTCTGTCCAAGTCTTGGTCGATAGAGTTACACATGATCTATGCTAGTGGGAGGTAATAGGTACTTCGTGAAATTAGTCGAGGTACGCAGAAGCTAGTTCGGATACCACAATAATAAAAAATTTAATAAAGCAAAAATGCATAGGCTTGTGATATTCTAGAAATGTCTATCTATCCTTTTCAAGGTAGGAAGGGTGTCGAGTTGAATGTCAATACAATCGTGTCATTGCTATCTAATTTGATTGATGTATCTAACTTGTGGTTTCATGCATGAATGTTTAATTAACAAATATAAAAATAAATGCCTCTTATTACTAAAGATTTAATGGTGACTAGCTAGATTATTTGTTCACCTTTTTTGTCCTTTTCTGTTTATTAATTTAAATAGCATTGTTTATTTATAGCCATACTAGCTACAACTATGACATAAAATAAAATAATGGAAAAGAGTTCTCAAAATCTTGGATTCACATTTGGTTAGGATTAGTTTATTATTGTATTGGTTGAGTTTATTTGGTGAAAAATATGATACAATAAGACAGACTTGGTATGTCTACATCACATCATGAAATTATTAAAATAAAAATAATCCAAAAGGAGATCTCAAATCTTCATTTCACATATGATTTGGATTAATTAATTTTCTTTTGAATGAGTTTATTATGTGAAGTATGACACATGCATTGATTGAGATTCTCTTCTTATTAAGAAAGAAGAAGAGAATATTCATAAGAAAGATATATTCTTAAATAGTAAGCGTAGTTGATGCTTACTTTCTCGCCAAAAATAAAGATTTTAATTGGAAATCAAATATCAAACAGTTAAATATCAGTCAGCAATCCCATTGGTCATTAATAAATTAAAGTATCAGAAGTTGACTATTTATATAACCCTATCGAGGTTGAGGGCTAGCTCAATTGGTTGGGGTGTCAATGGTTCGGTTTGGTTGATTATTTTACAAATTTGTACTATATTAATTCTTCGATTAATATTCTATTAATTATAACCAAAACTAGACTTTTCGAAGTCGCATCAAACTAAAACAGGAGTATTTTATACTTTTTAAATTTTGTAACCTGCTATTTCCTTCACCTATAAAGTTTATTAATTAATTAGTTAAAAAAAAAAAAACAAATCCAAGCATTCAATTTCAGACATTTTCAACATGTATTACCTAGAATATTACGTCAGCAAAAAGATAGCTATATTATCAGTAATCAATTTTTTATTCAATATATAAGAGTATCTCAAATTTTTTTATTTGAACATACACACATATGATAGTATGATTAAAAAGAGAAGAAAACTAATTAATATTCTTACTGGTTTTTCATGAATTCCAAGCTGTGACCATGTTATGACCTCAAGCAATTCTTCCATTGTTCCATACCCTCCTTCAGTATCAAAGTCAAATAATAATATATATTATGAATTCAAATTTCAAATATATATGAATCAAAGTATATTAAAAACCATATATAATTAGGGTTTTAATTACCAGGAAGTGCAACAAAAGCATCTGCTCTACGAGCCATCTCAGCTTTCCTTTCATGCATATCAGATACTACTAATACTTCTCCCACTGCATGGCCCGATATCTGCTAACGTTTAATTAAATATTGAACTCATCGAGTTAAAATCTTGAACCCGTTTTTCTATATACATACGTATCTTTTACTGTATTTAAAGCGGGAGTGAAATAAAAAGAATTAAAGGGGGAAGGAATGGAAGGAGGGTGTTTGAGATTTTATTTCGTACCTCTACTGGAACAAGAGCTCTTGGAATAATTCTAATCAATTGACAACAAAAAAAGGAAAAAAATGAATAAAAGTTAATCATATATTCGGAAAATTGGTTCCAACTTGTGATACAAACAAAAACCCCTACCAATTCAAAATTTACTATGTTTCACTTGTTGAACCACAATAAAATCCCTTCTTGGAAAAAATTACTTATACCTCGTGTTTACATTAACTCAATAAATATATAACATGCGTTGTTCAGGTACTTTTACTATTTAATTGTGAAAAATTAACACACATTCTCATCTTAGTTTTGTGAGTACTTAAACACAAAAGTTACAGTATTTTGGTATAAACAATACGTGTCAATAAATTTTTCCTCTTTTTTTTCTCCCTCCAATCCTTCCAAAATTTAATCATACAAGAAAAAATAGAAAAAATTAATAGGGTTTGATGGTAAATTAAAACTCAACTGTACCGAATGTTTACACCAAATATAGAATAAGTAATCATGAAAGAAGCATGCGCAAACACTTATGCATCAATTGATCTGGCGTAAAACTTAATGCAGACAAATTTTTACTAGGGTTTTGATTGAGGGTGAGGGTGAGGGTGAGGGTGGGTTGTGGGGTGGGGTGGGGGGGGTGGTTGAAGGATTCGCACTTACCCAAGAACATTGCATCCACCATCATAAACAGCTTGAGAAACCAACCCCATAAGTCCAATACTTCCTCCTCCATAAACTAGATCCATCTTCCTCTCCACCTAAAACTTCTCTTTATTAATAATAACAACCTCTAAAATCCAATAATATTTTTATCAAAACAGAAATAGAAGAGAAATTTGTATAAATACACATATAAAGAGAAGAAAAAGAAAAAAAGACCAGTTCTCTTCCAAGATCAAGAGCAGCATCACTGAAAATTTTCCTATTGCCTGAATTGCTTCCACAAAAGACACAAATTTTCCTGAATTTGTCCATATGAATATGATATTTAATTTTCCTTCAACTTCAAAACAAATAGCTACAGATTGATTTGAGTACTTTTAAAGAGTTTCACTTTAAGTGGTCAACCAAATGATTTGATATATATAAATAAGCAATATTAAATTAAATAATTATAAAAAGTTACCATT